TTTTTTTTTTTTTTTTTTTTTTTTTGATACCGGGGATTGAACTCTGGTCCTTGCACCTGCAAGGCAGGCTACCGAACTGCTGAGCTAAATCCCCGGCCCATGAGTGACTTTTTAATATCACATTAGTTCAAAAATCATTAAGTTAAATTATTATCTAACATTCCTCAGTGTAATTTTCTTAGTTACAACAGATTTTTCTCTTTCCTATTGAAGTTTTTAAAATTTTTTTTGGTATGAAAAATACTTGCTAAGGCCTCTTGTGCTTTGTAAGATCTCTGATTTTTTTTTTTTCAATATCATTGTACATGTGGGAGAGTAGATCAAAGATTAGGAACATCTTTAATATATTTTCATTGGCTTGATAAGCCAAAAAGTTTACCAATTTATACTTCTACTTATGTAAATTAGTTTTTGTTTATAAGCCCTATGGTATAATTGTTGTTTTAAACTTCTTTTGTAATTTGTTAGGTTAAAATGAATTGCCTTCTAGATGTGATGTTTGGGGAGAATTATAGAGGAAGCAATCTTGGCCTCTACAGGACCCAGAAATTGCCACCTACATCTTTTCTCATCTGCTATGACCTTTCTAAGAGGCTTCCCACATTAAACCATACATGCTGTGTAAAAACAGCCGTATGCCCAGATTTATGATGTAGCTAAGCACAGGTCCAGGAAGTCCTGGAGCTCTGCTTTCATTCTTGGCTTACGATAAAATGTAAATTGCTAGGTACAGTGAGTTCAGGTCATTGGATATTCTCAGTAAGTAGCAACTGATGGAAGTCAACATAGAAACGGTAACATTACCAGACTTTGATAATATCAGTATTTCATTGTATCTTAAAGGAACCCATAATTCATAAAAAAGAGCAGAAAAGAACTGAAACAATTCTTCTAAAAGAGATTTAGCTTTCCTTGTGCCTAGTTACAATTTATTAAAATATTAGAAAGTAATGAAACAATTTTAATCAGTCTTTTAAAATTCTTTACTCTGCTTTCTTCATTTTACAAAACTTCAACAATAACAATAAAACCAACCAAACAAACAAAATAGTGTGCACTAGGCAAGTGCACATATAGGTAATGGGCTCATTTTATATTTTTTTGTTTGCTCTTGGACTGGCCACTGGCAAGTGGAATCATGCACACTAAAATGACAAGGTACTTCCCAAAGAAGAGGGGCAGAGCAAATGGCCTGGATAATGTGCCAACTCTGAGCAGGCCTGGGATCATTCAGAGCTAACTGGAATGAAATGGAAAAGAGCAAATAATGACTCTCAATAGCAAATAGACGATCAATCTTTACAACTCTTTCAAAGCTGTATGATGCTATGATGGTCACTCCTTTGCAGAAAGACATTTCAAAGATTGAAAGGGTGCAGGAGAGAGCAACAGAAATGCCTCTAATCATGGGCTTCTGGAACAATGATGCTTTACGCTTCCTCTGCACACCTCTGCAAAGGGAGTGAAAATTCCCCGACTGCTGAAGGTCACCCTATTGTGAGAGGTGCAGGCTAGAAATAGGTAACCCAAGTCTTGACGAGAAGTTGTTTGATGGGTAGTTTTTGGTGTTAAACTGGGAGAAATCTTTACAAATATTTCACAAAGATTTTAGAACAATAAAACAGTCTTGGGAGTCAATAATCTTTGCCACTGACTGATGGGGTAATCCAAGGCAGGTCACATAACAATGCTAGTTTTGTGGCTTTCTTTTTTTGTTCCAGGGATTGAACTCTGGCCCTTGTGCTTTCAAGGCAGGCAGCAAAAGACAAAACCACTGAGCTAAATCCCTGGCCTTTGGTTTGTAAGGTAAACATTACAAAGAAGCAAATGAGGTAATTAGTCAGAAATTATCTTCATTGTGAAGAGCTCTACAGGTGAGTGACATTTTAGCTGCAGTGCTTTGTTTATATATGGATGTGGCCCATTCTTTGTGAATGTGAAAGAGATAATCAAAAGGACAACATAGACTATTGTCTGGGATGGGAAGTCTGAATGAAAGGAAAAACAAAACAAACAAAACAAAACAAAAAAACCTTTCCTAAACCCAGTGCTTCTATTCTGGATTTTGGCTGGGGAATTACATTGTTCCTCCTGAAATCTAATACAGCCTATATAATTGCTACTTGCCATCCTGGAAGAGAAGGTTTTCACTAAGGAGAGAGAAAGAAAAAAGATAGCAAGGGACAGTTATTTTGCAGTAAACGCATTGAAAAACGAACACACACACACACACACACACACACACACACCTTTATGAAGTAGCAAACAAACTAGAACTAGAGAAATATAGTCAGTGAGGTAAGAGGCGAGTCTGCGCAATTTTCAACATAGCTAGGAGAGGTGTTGGCAATTAGTATAAACTCCAAAATGGAAGTATTCCTTCAAATGCCAATCTTTGCAGTAGCAGAAGGCATAGGAGAAAATCAGTAAAGACACAAACTGATGAGGGTCTAGAAGATAGCAAGAGCCGCAGTTGGTGAAGAGTTCTCCTCCTCTTCAAGTCAACAGTGAAACCTCGCCAATGCTGCTTGCAAGTTGTTATAACATGTAAATATGTATATGGAAATATACGAAGGAGGATAGCTACAGATTCAGATGTGAAATTTAATCTTGAGTATGCTTTCTAGACTTTCCATTCTGGACTTTTCAAAATATCCCTTAAAAGACTTTCTATGGCTTGAGTGCATCTCCCGTCACAGATAACTTACAACTAATTAGCAGCTCACATTTGACACTCGTGTCTCATGCCACCTCAGTCATTCATTGAGCAATTATTTATTAAGCACATATTATCCCCAATGTACTGAGCCTGACAGATGATAAATAGTAAGTGAGGCAAATTCAGTACTCCATGGAAGAAGAATGCCATTAAAATAGAGCTCTAGCTGGGTGCTTTGGCACACACTTGTAATCCAAGAACTCTGGGAGGCTGAGGCAGGAGGATCACAAGTGTGAGCCAGCTTGGACAATTTAGTGACTTAGTTGAGACATTATCTGAAAAAAAAAAAAAAAGAGCTAGGGATATAGCACACGATGAAAGCTCTAGGTTCGATCCCTAGTAACATAACAACAAAAGTTTTCTAAATAATTGTCATTTCTATCTTTCACAATTTTGTCCAACTAATTCTAGAAAAATTTTACCTAAGTCATTGATTGGTTTAACCTCATGAAGAATATGCAAATATTCAACACTCCATCTGTTGTTTATTGAGTTTAAAATACTTTGCTGGCCTTAAAAACCTTATTAGACTCAGGTAGTCAATATTTACTTTAAAGTTTCACATCTTCTCCTTAATTAAGCATAAATGAGCATGAATGATTTACTTCTTTCTTCAACAATCTTTTGGCATCTGGAATGCAGCAAGTTTAGTTATAGGACAAAATAACAAAATTAGCCTATAGCTACTAGTAAGATGGTTAATTTGATTTAATGGAGGAAATTATGAATAAATATTAAAACCCAGAAGAGACGGTGGTACTGTATAATTAGTAATTTTATGCCAACTGTAGCTTTTAATTATGTCACTTGGACTGAAATAGGGCAATAAATCCAGGACAGCTTGGATTTGGCTTTAAACACTTGACACAACACATGCCACTCATAAATGCCCACAAAGATATTTTCTTCATTTTTGACATGGCAGCTGAATTATCCTCCAACAAATCAATCTGTCTCTCAGATTTTGCACATATTGAGCTAAATTAGAGGAAACAGGAAAAACCATCAGCCAGCCACCTCCATTAGCATGCGTCCACATCCACAAGAGCCTGCTTCCCCTTGGTGTCCATTATTCACCCTTCCTACAAACACCTGTCATCTTCATCATCTCATCTGCTCCACACAGAAAGCAGAGAGCACCAGTCTTTGCCCACACTTGGCTTCTACTGCAGGCAGTGTGCAGTAGTCTTTGGTTATGTGCTGCATGCACACTGTCAGAGGCCATATTTTCTATTTGCATAACAGGTTGTGGACGCTAGATGGCCCTGTAGAGCCACCTCCAGATAGATAACCGGTGACAGGTGTTTCCTCAACAGCAACAAGGAACACAGGCTTTGGTTCTGCTAAAATCAGGTTTAAATTACAGTTCTCCAAGGTGGGATTGGTCTTGTGCTAGCACCCTCTGGGCTTCTGTCCTCTCCTTGGTAAACTCTAAGTTTATAAATCTACCCCGTAGAGCTGGATGTGGTAGTGCACACCTGTAATCCCAACTCTCAGGAGGCTGAAGCAGGAGGATCACTGTGAGTTCGAGACCAGCCTGGGCTACATAGTGAGTTCCAGATACTAAGACCCTGTCTCAAAAAACCAAAGGGGGGGAAAAATCTACCCAGTGAAGTTGGATGTAGTCGTAGATGACATTATAAGCTTGACTAAAGAAAACTTCTTCAGCCAAGTACAATGACACATGCCTGTAATCCTAGCTACTTTGAAGGTTGAAGCAAGAGGATCTCAAGCTCAAAGCCAGGCTAGGCAATTTACTGAGAACCTGTCTCAGAATAAAAAGAGCTGGGATTGCAGTTCAGTGACAGAGTCTCCCTGATGCTCCGCAGGTAGATACTCTCTCTTTGTTTCACTTTTCTTGTTTTTCAAACCTCTCCACAGAGGTTCCTTATAGCAATTTAATAAAATAACAAAGGATTACACTGGGCACACAAACGACCCTTGTGATGTATTAGCAGTCATTATTATCAGTTTTTAAGAAATGATTAGTATGAGTTAATTAAAAAAAAAACAATATCCAGCACACATAACAGTTTAAATGATGGTAGTTATTATTTTATTGTTATGGTTCTAGTACTTACCTAATGCTTTCATTTGATCTACCAGAAATTTATTTGTCCCTTGATTACTGGGTAGAATTATAGCTTCAGAACTGTCACTACTCTGGATGAAGCGTATAAATACCTTTAAGAAAAACAAAACAAAACAAAAACGTTGCTGTACTGAGGATTGAATCCAGGGCCATCACGCTGAGCCACATCCCCAGCGCTTTTTATTTTTATTTTGAGGGAGGATGTTACTAAGTTATTAAATTGCCCAGGTTGGTTTTGAATTTGCAAACTTTCTGTCTCAGCCACTTCCAGAGTGCCAGGACTACGGGCATATACGACAAATCCAGCTAAGAACAACTGTTTGAGCTAAGTACAATGTTAGTACTCATATTGGATTTCCTTTTTTCTTCCACTGGTTCAGATTTTCACACAACAAGCAGTGACATTTCTAAGTATTTTTGTGATCCCTACGTGTGACTGAGGTCTTTTGGCAATGGAAAATGTACAAAATGACAGGGTAGAGCCCATGTGTGACAGGAGTACCTCCTTCCTGGGGTGAACCTGTTCGCACAGGTGTTAGGATTATTTACTCTTTGTGTGGGTGTGTGTGTGTGTCCGTGCACATGTGTGTGACAAATCACTAGAGCAATGTTGCCCCCAGAGACTGGAAAATAAAAGGATGAAGGATTGCCAATCAGAGACTTCAGTTACAGTTGTTGGCCCCTGAAGATTTCATGCAATGGATCACAAAAAGCAGCATGCCTCTTTCTCTATAAGCTGAAGAGGATTTGGAGGGAAAGCAAACATATATGAATCATTTGGATGATTTCCTATTTTTAAAAAGATACATAAAACCACAGGTCTAATGAGAGTTACAGGAATAAGCTTTTAGTTTATTCCCTTTGATACTTTAGGAGATTTGCAATGGATATAATTTTTAAATAACCAAAAATTAAATTTGAAATGATCACAATCTCATACCTTTATAATTTAACAAGGGATATTTTGGGAGACTCACACGGAAATATTTCCTTAAATGATCTGAGAAATATATTCTTTTTTCTATATTTTATAGATAATGGATATAAAAACTGATTTTGGAGGGTGAGAAAGAAGCAACAGAGGGACAAAATGACCTTATCAAGTCATGTAAGTGTAAACCTCCTATATTGTTTCTATTATTGATAGTTTTGCTGTATATAATATCAAAATGCCATTCTTTTTTAGTATATGTGCTGCTGAAGTGAGCACATAAAATGCCATTCTTAAGTATAATTTATGTATGCCTTCCTTACAACATCTTTTTCATTCAGAAATTTATATATTTCCCCTTTTTGCATAATAACCATTGGCTTTTTATATCACTGATGAGACATAGTGATTTTTCTACCAGATCTTTCACTCAGCAAGAGATCCATTACTAACAGTCTTTCCATCACAGTCTCCCAGGGAACCTACAGGTGTTTGTGCTGATCATGGTAGAAAGGAGCTCTGCGGTAAGTAAAGGTCGTTCAGTATCAGAACCCACCTTTTTTTCTATAATTTGATAAGACTAGCAGGGTCGCTGCCCACCATTTCTGTGTGTGCCAGCTCCAGACAATGAGAAATTAAATAGCTGATTAACAGAGCCCTTAAAATGTTTCCTCATAATGAAATTCACCTTTGGACATAAGAAATACAATACAATGAAAATATAATACTGATAAAAATAAAAACCAATATTGACACATTAGATAGTGAGAAAAGCACAGATATTGGATTTAAGAAGTGTAAACTTCACAACATATCTTTTTTTGGCAACTTATTTACATCCTGGACTTTGCTTTCTTGTCTGTAAAATGGAAACCTCACAGAAATATGAAAATGAAGTGATGATGAATGTTAAGTGACTTTTGGTTCCCTTCATATCAAAACAACACACTAAAACAGAGTGACAGTAAGTGATTTCCTTTCTAACAGGTTCATCTCTCCTCTTGAGAACCTTTCTTTCAAATCATAAGCTATGGCTCACCTTAGATTAAGTTTGAGTCAGCAATAGGCACACTATATATGAGTTTAGATTCAACATGGTTCAAAAGCCAAAAAAGTGACTTATAGGAGAATAAATGACTTATATGAAAAACAAGAGAAAAGGGCTTGACAATCAAGCCAACCACTCTCATCTAGCTTAAGTTTATGGTACACAAACTGTTCCCATTTAAATCTTTCCACAATAGAAGCAGGTGGATCAGAGACCTCCAAACGGTCCAGACAAATTACCAGGCAAATGCTAGCCTACAGAGATAGTGCTTAAAAGGGTATTTCATTTTCTTACATCTGTTGAATTTGAGTCTGGGTAAATCATGCTTAACTCTCCATGTGCTTATTATATTTCAAATCACCATCCAAAACACTCTGGGGCCTAAGATTTCCACACAGCACATAAAAAGTAATGGCATTGCAAAAGTAACAACAAATTAGAAAATATAATAAAAAGAAATCATCATATTCTCAACAAAACCATATAGTATTTAGGAATAAATTCAATAAAAGGTTTGCAAGAACACTATAAAAAATTAAAGCATTATAGAAGGAAGTAAAATAAAATTATAATAAATGATGAACTGTAATGTGCTTGTTCCTAAAAGGACTGTAACAAAAGATCAGTTTTCCCAAAATTTTAAAAAATATTTATATTGGTACATTTTAGGTATACAGTACAGTTACATTCATCATTGGAATTTGTACCTTTACATGACATCTTTGTTCTTTTTTTTTCACCATTCCCCTAGCCTTCCTTTTCCCCTACCCTTCCCTATTTACAAAGACTTTGTTTCAATTTTTTTCCTTTTCTCTTCTTTTTTATCTTCCCTTTATACCTTTCCCTTTCCCCTCCCATTTACCACATACCTCTGGATCTTTTCCTCCTATTACAAAATATCAATTATACATTTGAAATTATATGTTATTTGCACTTCTAGTTTATCACACCAGAGAAACTATATGTTATTTGCACGTGTCCTATTAATTTCACTTAAGAGTATGCCCTCAAGGTGCATCCACTTAACTGTAAATGTCTCTAATTTCTCATACTTTATGGCTGAGTTCTGCTCCATTTTATTAAAAAAAAAAACAACCCACATCTTCTTTATCCATTATTCAGTTGATGGGCAACTGTTTGTTCCAAGTTTTAGCTTTTCCAAATTGTGCCACTATAAACACAAGTGAGCATAATATTGCTGGGAAATGATTCTTTTAATTATTTTGGGAAAATACCCAGCAGGGTAATAGCTGGGACAAACGGGACTTCCAATCCTATTTGTTTAAGGTATCTCCATATTGATTTCCACAATGGTTGTAACGGTCTTTACTCCCACCAACAATGGAGAAGGGTTCCTTTCTCCCTACACCCCACCAACATTTGTCATTGGTGATTTCTTGATAGCAGCTATTCATTCTGGTGTGAGATGGAGTCTCAGTATTGTTTTGATCTGCATCTCTCAAGTGACCAGTGTTGTTGAACATTTTTTATATATTTGTTTGTTGCTTTAACGTATTTTTCTGAGAAATGTCTGTTCATTTCATATTCCCATTTTTGAATTGGATCTTTATATTTGGGGCTTGATTGTTTTGAGTTCGCTTTATATTCTAGATAGTAGACCTTCATCTGAGGAACAGCTGGTAAATTTTTTTTCCACGTTGTAGGCTGTTTCTTAACTGTTGGTGGTTTCTCTTGTAGTGTAGAAGCTTTTTAATATAATGAGTTCTCAGTTGTTGATTCTTTGTGCTAGTTCCTGTGCTACTGAGGATTTGTTCATAAAGTCTTTTCCTATGCCAGTGTTTTCACGAGTGCTACCTAACTTATGTTCAAGAAAGTTTAGTGTTTCTGTTTAAATATTTAGATCTTTAATCCACTGCAATTTTAGTTTAGTGCATGAAGAAAGATAGTTTTAATCATTGGCAAGTTCAAATCCAGTTTATCCAACACCATGTACTGAAGAGGCTGTCTTTCCTCCAGTGAGGATGGTTGATTTCTTTGTCAAAGATGAGGTAGCTGAGTATGTCTGGATTTGTATCTGCATCTTTTAATCTATTCCACTGATCCTTGGGTCTGTTTCTTTGCCTTAACGTGCTGTTTTTAATCACAGTGACTTTGTAGTATAGTTTCAAGTAGGGGATTGTGATACCCCTTGCCATGTCTCTGTTGCCTAGAATAGCTTTTGCTATTCTAGTTCTCTTCTGGATCCAAGTGAATTTTTGGATCATTTTCTATAGTTTTGTGAAATATACTGTTGGGATTTCAGTAGGGATTGCATTAAATCTGTTTTGGAAGTATGGCCATTTTTACTGTATTGGTTCTTCCTACCTAGGAACAGGTGATATCTTTTCACTTTCTTATATCTTATTCAGTCACTTTTTTCAGAGTGTTGTAATTCTCAATGTAGAGGTCCTTTGCTTCCTTTGTTAAATTGTTTCCTTTTTTGCATGTTATTGTGAAAAGGATTATTGCCCTAATTTCTCTCTCAGTGGGTCTTTTATTTGTATACAAGAAGGGTATTGAGTTTTGAGTGTTGACCTGGGATACATCTGACTTGGTCAGGGTATGTGATCTTGAAGACCGTCTGTATTGTTTGCCAGTATCATACTGAGGACTTTTGCATCTATGTTCATTAAGGAGATTGGCCTGCAGTTCTCTTTTTTGGTTGGGCCTTTCCCTGGTTTTGGAATCTAAGTAACACTTGCCTTCAGGAATGAATTTGGAAGTATTGCTTCACTTTCAATTTCATTGAAGAGTTTAAAGAGTAGTGGTAATAGCTCTCTAAATGTCTTGTAGAATTCAGCAGTGAAGCTATCAGGACCTGGGCTTTTCTTTGTTGGTAAATTTTTAATTACATTTTTCAGTTTCACTGATTATAATAGGGTGTTTACAATTTTTGTATTTTCTTCTTTCAACTTTGATAGTTCATATGTATCTAAATATCTGTCCATTTCTTCTGTGTTTTATTAGAGTACAGGTTCTCCAAGTAGGTATTGATGATCCTCTGAATTTCTTCTGGATCTCGTGTGACATTCCTAATTGCATGGATTTAAGCCTCTTTTAAAATTAGGTTGACTAAGGGTTTATGAATTTTGTTTATTCTTTCAAAAAAACAACTTTTCAATTTACTGATTTTTTTTGTATCATTCTCTCAGTCTCCGTTGCATCAATTTTTGCTCTGTTCTTTTAAATTTCCTCCCTTGTATGATCTTTAGGTTTGTCTTGCTCTTAATTTTCTAGAAGCTTAAGATACAGCATTAGGTTGTTTATTTGAGCTCCCTCTGTTTTCCTAGTATGGGCATTCACTGCTATAAATTTCCCTCATACAACTGCTTTAATTGTGTCCCATAGATTCTTATATATTGTATTGACATTTTCATTTATTTGTAAAAACTGTCTAATTTCTTCTTTAATTTTCTATTACCCTTTGGTTGTTCCAAAGAGTGTTATTCAATTTCTATGTGTTTGTGAAGTTCTTGCAGTTTCTTATGCTATTGATCTCCAGTTTAATTGTACTATGGTCTGATATATACATGGGATAACTTCAACTCCTTTACATCTGCTTAAAAATGTTCTGTGAGGTAGTATGTAGTCTATTTTTGGAGACTGACTCATGTGCAGCCAAAAAGAATGTACATTCTCATATTCTGGGGTGGAAAACTGTTGATGTCTGTTAAGTGCATTGATTCAAAAGATTGGATCAATTCTAGTATTTCATTGTTTATTTGTTTTACCTGTCTATTTGTGACAGTGGGGTATTGAGGTTCCCCACTACAATTATATTAGTGCTTATTTGGTTTTTTGTATCCCTTAATATTTGTTTTGTATAGTTGCTGTATTTGTTAGTATTTGGTGCATATATATGAATGACTATTACCTCTTTCTTTTGGATTGTTCCCTTTACAAAGATATAGTGACCTTCTTTGTCTCTCTTAATTAGCTTTGGTTTGAAATTTACTTTGTCTCCAAATAAGATAGCTACCCCTGCCATTTTCCAGGTTCCTGTCACATAGAAAATTGTTTTCCAGCCTTTCTCTTTCAGTCTATGAGTTTCTTTTTGAACTAGGTGTTTTTCTTGTATATAGCATACTGCTGGATTTTGCTTCTTAATACATTCTGCCAGTGTTTCTTTTGATTGGTGAATTGAGGCTGTTAACATTAATGGCTATAACTGATATGTATTGATTTATCATCATCGTGTTATTTTCCTGTTGTTAGCTTTTTAAAACTTTTCCTCTCTCTCTTTAATTTCTTGTCTTGCCTGCTGAATTTGCTCTATTGGGCCTCATGGACTTGTGATCTTCATTGTCTATTTCTAGGACATTATTTAAAATTGTTTGGAGTGCGGGTTTGGTATTCATGAATTTTCTCATGTGCTTTTTGTCATGGAAGTATCTTATTTTCCCATCAGTTTTGAAACATAGTTTTGCAGGATACATCAGTCTAGGTTGAGGTTTGTTTTATTTTAGGGCTTGAAAT